CAAAGTTGAGTCTGTGGTTACAAATCAGATCAAAGTTGAGTATGTGGTTAAAAGTCAGGTGAAAGTTTAGTTCGTGGTTACACATCAGATCATAGTTGAGTCAGTGGTTTCAAGTGAGGTCAAAGTCAAATTCAAATATTAGCATGGTATTTGAATCCGGATCCGAATTTGAATTCCATGTCCTTTCTCTCTTTCTCAAGTGCCCCAGTACTTATTTGAAATCAGAGGGTTTCACTCGTCACATTTTAAATTCCCTCCTCCCCATTAGTGTGACAAGGACTCAGGTGGCACACAGAAATCACGATTGTGTGATATATCAAATGAACAAATCCACAAGGGCCGTGATGATGGTTCGAACCTATGCACGGAATCGTTGACTAAGGCGCAGCTGGGAATATCCAGTTAGTAGGTTCGAACCCTCATCACGGTCCTTGTGGATTTGTTTACTCAGGTAACACTTACAGCTCATAACACAGGAGTCATAAATCGTATTTGCCCCAAGTTCACTGCACCTGTCGGTCTCCACAAAACGAATATCAAACTGCTCTAATTTCGTGTGCCATCTGCCACCGTTTATAGGATTAACAGGACACAGGGTATCTGACTAAGTCATTAAATCTGAAAACATGACATCGTGATAGGTGTGACATCACACCCAAATTATTGTCACTAAAAACTCTCTGAGTTCCCAAGACTCAAACTTTGCACATAATATGTATATGTAAATATGTTTAAGCCATCAATGGCATTACACTGAGGTGTGACTGTGGATGATGAGTTCCTTCTCAGTCACTTTGCTGACAGATGGGTGGTGACCATCTATATTCCAATTAATGGGTCTCTGTCCACGACTGGGTATACCTCTGATCTCAAAATATGGTTTTCCAGCTACCAATGAGCAATGATAAATAAAAATCAGAAAAATAATTATTTTTAGGGGTAACTTTTATACTCTCTTGCCTTACATATTACTTACCTTTCTAAACAACATTACAGAGAGTTGGCAATCATCGTACCTCTCTTTTCCCCACTCATCCTTTGCTCTCCACGTTCCTTCCATTACACCCTGCAATCTTTTTTTTCTCCATCTGCTCTTATCACGGCTCCTTGTGGCGTGGACCCTTGACCCTTAGTACTGTCAAAACTCCACTTCAATTAAGAGGTTCTTCTAACCTGGAATGTTTGGAGGATGATGCCGCCCTGTTCAAGGCGCCATGGCATGTTGTGCTGGGCCACCAGCTCCTCGACGGATGCGATAGGGATGGCGACCCGGGGCACAGTGAGGGTGGCCACCAGGGCGCCGCTGTATGTGTTGGTCAGTACGACCGTCGCCAGGAACCACACACCCATCACCCACCCTCCCACACCACGCGCTCTCCATTTCCCAGCTGTTCAATATACGAACATTCAAGATTATATAATGAATCGAAAAATGCAGGATATTATAAGTTTCAGTTATTGACAAAAGATATATGTGTATATACACACACACATACATATATATATATATATATATATATATATATATATATATATATATATATATATATATATATATATATATATATATATATATATATATATATATATATATATATATATATATATATATATATATATATATATATATATATATATATATATATATATATATATATATATATATATATATATATATATATATATATATATATATATATATATATATATATATATATATATATATATATATATATATATATATATATATATATATATATATATATATATATATATATATAAATATGACCGAAAAAGTAAGATTAATAATTCTAACACGAATTTTCTCAATCTTTCGTACATTTATTTTCACTGTTGGAGGTAAATCAAAAATCAATTCTCCAAAATTCATTTTTATTTCTAGTCTGACGCGACACGAGCGCGTTTCGTAAAACTTATTACATTTTCAAAGACTTTAGTTCACAAATACACAACTGAATAGAACTTACGCATCTCCGATTTTATATCTACATTTGAGTGAGGTGGAAGGGGTGATGTGGCATTAACACAAGACAGAACAAGATGTGGCATTAATAGGGTATTAATTTCATCAACACAAGACAGAACAAGAGTATTAATAGGGTATTAATTTCATCAACACAAGACAGAACACGAAACAATGGATATTGAATAGAAGTGTTTGTAGAAAGCCTATTGGTCCATATTTCTTGATGCTTCTATATTGGAGCGGAGTCTTGAGGTGGGTAGAATATAGTTGTGCAATAATTGGCTGTTGATTGCTGGTGTTGACTTCTTGATGTGTAGTGCCTCGCAAACGTCAAGCCGCCTGCTATCGCTGTATCTATCGATGATTTCTGTGTTGTTTACTAGGATTTCTCTGGCGATGGTTTGGTTGTGGGAAGAGATTATATGTTCCTTAATGGAGCCCTGTTGCTTATGCATTGTTAAACGCCTAGAAAGAGATGTTGTTGTCTTGCCTATATACTGGGTTTTTGGAGCTTACATTCCCCAAGTGGGCATTTGAAGGCATAGACGACGTTAGTCTCTTTTAAAGCGTTCTGTTTTGTGTCTGGAGAGTTTCTCATGAGTAGGCTGGCCGTTTTTCTGGTTTTATAGTAAATCGTCAGTTGTATCCTCTGATTTTTGTCTGTAGGGATAACGTTTCTATTAACAATATCTTTCAGGACCCTTTCCTCCGTTTTATGAGCTGTGGAAAAGAAGTTCCTGTAAAATAGTCTAATAGGGGGTATAGGTGTTGTGTTAGTTGTCTCTTCAGAGGTTGCATGGCTTTTCACTTTCCTTCTTATGATGTCTTCGACGAAACCATTGGAGAAGCCGTTATTGACTAGGACCTGCCTTACCCTACAGAGTTCTTCGTCGACTTGCTTCCATTCTGAGCTGTGGCTGAGAGCACGGTCGACATATGGGTTAACAACACTCCTCTTGTACCTGTCTGGGCAGTCGCTGTTGGCATTTAGGCACATTCCTATGTTTGTTTCCTTAGTGTAGACTGCAGTGTGGAAACCTCCGCCCTTTTCCATGACTGTTACATCTAGAAAGGGCAGCTTCCCATCCTTTTCCATCTCGTAAGTGAAACGCAGCACGGAACTCTGCTCAAATGCCTCCTTCAGCTCCTGCAGATGTCTGACATCAGGTACCTGTGTAAAAATGTCGTCAACATACCTGCAGTATATGGCCGGTTTCAAGTTCATGTCGACTAAGACTTTTTGCTCGATGGTACCCATGTAGAAGTTTGCAAACAGGACACCTAGGGGAGAACCCATGGCGACCCCACCTACTTGCTTATACATGTGCCCATCCGGGCTCAAGAAGGGTGCCTCTTTAGTACAAGCTTGGAGTAGTTTCCTCAGAATATTTTCTGGTATGTCAAGAGGAGTACTGGCTGGATCACGATACATTCTGTCGGCTATCATTCCGATTGTCTCGTCCACAGGTACGTTGGTAAACAGCGATTCTACGTCCAACGAGGCTCTTATCCCTGTGGCCCGTGTGCCCCACAGTAAGTCAACAAATTCCTTTGGAGACTTCAGGCTGAAGGCGCAAGGAACATAAGGAGTCAGCAGGCCGTTGAGTCGCTTCGCCAGTCTGTACGTGGGTGTGGGTATCTGGCTAATGAATGGCCGAAGTGGGTTTCCAGGCTTGTGCGTCTTGACATTTCCATACGCATATCCAGGTTTATATTCCCCAATGATCTTTGGCAGGTGGAGTCCGGATTTCTTGGCGTTCACAGTTTCGATCAGTTTGTTGACCTTTGCTTTTAATTCGGCTGTAGTGTCCTTCGTTACCCTTTGGAACTTAGTTTGGTCAGAGAGTATGATGTTCATTTTCGCCAGATATTCGTCTTTTTTAAGAATGACATATATTGGCGATGCATATTCAGTTGCATATTGTCCTGGGGACCATTCAGGCTTGTTCGCATTTGTGTTCCTCACGTGTGCCCCAAAGAATGAGGTGATTTAGTAAAATTCTATGCCCAAGATTACTATCCGAGTGCCGGCGGTGGGGTGGTTCAAATAGCCTCGGCTATCACCTCATTATGTCCGGTCGTGATGGTCAAGTGGATTAAGGCGTCTTGTACATACCAGTTGCGTTGCTCCTGGGAGTATGGGTTCGAGTCACTTCTGGGGTGTGAGTTTTCAGTTGCATATTGTCCTGGGGACCATTCAGGCTTGTTCACATTATATATATATATATATATATATATATATATATATATATATATATATATATATATATATATATATATATATATATATATATTTATATGCCCATGTGTGTGTGTGTGAAGTTTTAGTAATATAAATTATTTAGTGAGGCAGATAATACCACAACTCACAGGCCTGCATGAGGGAACCCCACACATAGAGGACAATGTAGGTGGGGGATGAGATTGAGTCCTCCACCCCTGATGCCACCCACACAGCCGCGGTCGTCACCACACCTGACACGAATACCATCACCCACACCTGCAACAGGAATCACACACCTGCATTATGACCGTCTTAATATGACACCGTTCACACCTGTTACAGGAAACACCAGCACGGGGATTGGCATCTGTCTCATTGTACTACAACATGAAACAAAACTGTTACATAATAATTATATATTCCTGGCTTACGGACAGGAGACGAGCAGACTAGGTGGAAGCTCCTACTTATATTGAGGACGTCAGTACAAACTGGTGTTATCCTTGTGTCTTATATCCACTGGGGCACACTCCCATGCTCGCATGGGGTTGGAACACGTTTGTGAGCCATCACTCTTGATTGTGGGTAACGGGTTTAAGAAGTGATAAAATAAAATACTGGTTGCTGTGTGATTCCAGACGATTCCTACGGTGGTGGAATCCCGCAGCAGGTGGTGGTAACCGGGTTATAGGGGACATGACTTACTATTTACAATGCTTATAAAACAAAAGAGCATCTACTTGAAACATTATGTACCTGTTCTATGTAGCACTTAATCTTACAACATACTTTAATCCTAACATTCCTCTCCCCCCCTTCTAAATTAGATCTACCCCTACAGGTTAAGTCTATCAGGCAGTCGTATGACTTTCAAATTTCTCAACTGGGGTTCCTGGCCTGTTACTTCTGGGAAACCTTCTTCTGAATTATTAACTTCTGAGTCCATAAGATTCGCTGTATCCACTTTTCCCCCTGTTGACCCTTGCTCTGCCTCCCTGTCTCCTGCAGGTGTTACTCCTTCATTATTAGGTTGGATCCCAGGGGTGGATGTGGCAACTAGTGATATCTTCAGCATTATTTGTTTTGTTCACTATAGACAACTCATCCAGTCCTCCCCCCAAAAAAACTTGTCTATGAGATCCTTACCATATAGGCTAGGATTATGTGAATCCACTACATAAAAGTCATGGACAATTTCTTTCCTGTCATAGCATACTTTTGCTGACACCTTGTCCTTAACTGCAAGGTATCTGCCTAATGTTTAGGCCATGTTGACACTGCAGCACTCGTGTCCAGTGCCACGGAAATTAGCTTCCCACCAATTACAAAATTTACCACTTCTGGTAAATGCTATTTGTTTTCAAGTAATCTCTGCCAACTTTCCTCAAGTTCCCTTTCTTGTCACAAAAGTCGCACATGCAATCTTTAAACTTGCAGTTGCTACTACTGTTGTTGTTGTTTTAGATTCAGCTACTCGGAACACAAAGTTCCAAATAGCACAGACTATTGTGAGCCCGAAGTGGACTTACCTGGCATAGGAGCGGGGCTGTGTGGAGTGTTTTACTACTACTGTAATTGTACCCACAATGTTTACATCTCATCTGGCCCTGTACGACCATAATTTCTTGGGTAGTAGATTAAACCTCTGAAGGCCGTTTTCAAGTTCAAAATCTCTATCACTGTCCATGAAGCCATCGATTGTAAATACAAATTTTCCACACCAGGTTAGGGAAAAATATCACATTTACTACTGCCATGAGCACCTGGTCCTTCACCCGGCAAACGAAGCTCAAAAGTTGCAGTTGGTAGCCAACGCCTTCAAATCTACATATAAATCCCATAAGGATTCCTGCTGCTTCTTAGTCCTTTCTGGGAAATCCATCAAACTCCTGTGATATTGAAGGTTTCACTGTATAATGATGCTTAAGCAGAGTAATCAGGTCTTTATAGGTCTCCGTGTGGAGTAGCTCTAGCAAGCACACGTTACCAAGGACACTATATACACTGTCATACCCAGTGAAACTAAGTGTAGCGATTTATTGTTTGTGTTCTCTTTAATGCCATGGTGAGCCAGCTTCCAGCAGGCTCAGCCACATGTCCGACGACATCTTGGTAGCATATAGCGGTTCTATCTTCATAGGGACAGCGTTAAGGAATCCGCCGTGGCCACGGGTCGAACACATCTCACTGTTGATTAAGTTCTTCCGCCCGTCCACATGACATACTTTGCCCTCTCTGATGGTCCTTACCTCATCTTGTACCTGGACTCGGCATCAGCTGTTAATCCTCGTCGCCACTTTAATAATTCGGCATGAAGAAAAATGAACGTGTGATCCACCTGGCGTTTATTTACATCAGACCATGACGTCACTGGGTTATAGGTTACATGACTTACTATTTACAATGCTTTTTAAACAAAAGAGAATCTGCTCGAAATATTATGCTCCTAACCTAAGTAGTACTTTATCCTACAACATACCAAAATCCTAAGTACATGCAAAGAATGTGACCAATGGCAAGGTATAGTGTCAGAAAAAAAAATTAAATTTGGTTAAATGACTGATTCCCATAACAAAAAGTGATAAATGTTTTCTTAAGGAGTTGGTAAGGGCTTCGTGGTATGCAGAAAGTGACAATGCACACAAGAATGAACCCCTGGGATACGTCTTTGTGAGGAAAATCTCCCAGTAGGAATTTATTTGTTTAGTTATTGATTTATTAAATTATTTAATTTTTTTTTAATTTAGTATTGATTTAAAACTGACTGTATATTTAGAATTGTCCTGCTAGGAGTTTCCCTTTTCACAAACTTGGGGGTGTTTAATTACATAGCATATCAATCGAAAATAATCGATTAATATAAATTTGCTATAAATTGTTAGAATACAATGGATAGTATTAATGAACTAAAGAACAACTTAGCTGTTTTGTTGAATGCAGACTTGTCAACCAGATAAGGACACTAAGGATCATGAAAAGTGATTCTCATCGTGGGTCAGGCTATAGCATCATCACATATGACATGTGGCACTAGGTAGTACTGCAAATTTCTTCTTCTTCCCCCTTCAATTTCACCTGTCATATAGTCACAAAGTAATAAACCATAAACAATAGATGAAGTATATACCGGGCAAGAGTTTATGGATAACTTATTAAAACTTACCCATTATGGGTAACCATGCCCATAACCGGTCAACTCTAATCAACATTAATGACCAGAAATTATTAGATAAACAGGTTAATTGGGTTCAGAACACTTTCCTTATGGCTAACGAAGTTCTGTTGTTGTTAAGAAACTCTGGCGTCCTTCAACACTAATATTCGCAGGAAGATTTTTTTAGTCAGTACGTGTGTGCTTGCATGCAAGGTTTGTCTGTATCAATAATGGCGTCTATTCTCCTTTTCTGCTCAAGGACGAGTTGACTAGTAAGGTTCTAAATCTCTCTTTATCGACTTTGGGGAGGAGACTTTGTTTCTATTTAAGTTTTAATTATATACAGTCATGGGAAACCCTTTTTTATTATTTGTAGTGCCAAGACTGGCATTTTAAAAATTATGTAGGGCATGTATGATGAATAAATAGAGATTCAGGTGATGTGGCAAATGTACCAGTTTGTAAAACAAGCCATAAAACCCTAGTTCCTTTGAATAATTCACTTAGGTTAATTAGTGGTTAGTTAATGTTAGTATTTGCCTAATATGACCGCATTTGCTTCGTGTTAGTATTTAGTGTCGGAATTTCCTTCATAATTCTGTGGGGAAAAAACCTGGTTCGGAGTCCACTGTTCAGGCTAGTGAACACTTCATTGCTCTCCTTCAGAATTATAATATTGTTTAATTTTTAATTTGCACTGTTGTGTGAGTCTTTCAGGACAGATGCATCATACTGGAGCTGCAGGGGTGGGGAGTATCTGGGATACTTCATTTCTTTCTAACTTCAAAGGAACCAGTTTTTCTAATGTTTTGAGACTAGTGGTGCCTTTTCACTTCACTTTCACTATTTTCAAGATACTCTAGTGGTCTGGTTGGACAGAGACCATAAGGCCCAGAGACCACTCTGAACGTGGACTATCACTGTCCATCAAAAGAACATCACCAGGTTTTAAGTGAATTTTATTATAGGGGTGGTTTGGCACGTAGTGATACTCCCTCAGAGCAGTTACATATTCTCGAGTCCAAACGCCATTCCACCGACTTATTACTTTTGACAAATGTTTGTAGCTTTTAACCAAGTCACTTTCTCCAACATACAAAGGATCTTCTGGTCCCACGTCCGTGAGGGACGTTAGAGGGTTAAGAAGTGCTCCATACATCGGATTAGAGGGACTTAGTGGCTCATGTTGCGAGTGATCGTCAGAGAGGTAGGTCAGTGGTTAGTTATTCACTGGAGATTCAATTTCTTTAACAACGATTTGGAGATCCTGGAAATTTATTTTTTTGGTGGTGAAGGGTGTTGCGTACATACATAGAGAGTGTTGCATACCACTGGATGATTCCAGATCTCCCTCAGGCATGCTTCCCCTGCCACCAAGTTGGACCCATTGTCTGTGATCATCAACTTGGGGCAGGATCGAGGGGTAGCAAGCCTGCAGAAAGATTGCATGAATGACTCTGCACTCATATCAAGGGTCATTTCTAGGTGTACACCCCATGTTGTAGCACAGATGAATAGGCAGATGCACGCCTTCACTGGAACTTTGTCCTTAGTGCCTGTTAGTGTTATGACACCTGGGTAGTCCACACCAGTGGTCTCAAAATAACGAAGATGGACAACTCGTCCACTAGGGAGTGGTGGAGGTCCTGGATAAGGACACACCCGAGCATCGTACCTCTGGCAGACTACACAGGATTTCGATATGGACTTTACAATCTGGCGATCTTGAAGAAGCCAGAAGTGGTGTCTCAAAGAGGTGAGAGTATCTAGTATCTCCCCATGAAGAGTGCAGTGTTTCTGCATATGTAACACAATTAGGCTGCTTACGCTGTGGTTACGGGAAAGAAACGTTAGATATTTCATTTCTAGGTCTATTTGAGCAAGCTGTAAGTGGCCCCCTGGCACCTTAATTAATATAAAAGAATTGTCTAGGTCAGTTCAGAGACCCAGATCTTTAATAGGAAAGTTTTCCAAATCTCTCCCAAAAGTTTCTGTTTGGGCTCTTTTGACCCAGTATTTTAGCACACTAGGGAATTGATATTTGATTCTTATTCTATTCAGGAAATCGAATACCCAATGATTGACACCTAACAGTTTACTGAGATCAGAGTACTGATTTGGA